TATTTATAGCACTAAACTATCTACATATTTTTCCAGAATCGATAAATATCAATATGGAAATTTATTTGCCTGAAATCAATTACAAAAATATACAGTTGAGAGTATCTGAAAGTCGTGCATTTCCCACCTTACCATTCCCATTTTAGCTCGAATAATCTCCTACTATATACAGATTTTTTAATGTATTTTAAACTTTAATTTTATATATTTAGAGCACAAAATTATCTACATATTTTTCCAGAATCGATATATATCAATATGGAAATTTATTTGCCTGAAATCAATTACAAAAATATACAGTTGAGAGTATCTGAAAGTCGTGCATTTCCCACCTTACCATTCTAACTTGTTTTTGTTATTGTGCCATTGATTGAAAACGCATAAAAACAAAGGCGGCCAAAAGCGAAGCGCGTTTTTTTTTTGTTTTCTTTTTTTTTTTGGGCCATGAAGTGTGAGGCGTGCAGAGTGTTCAGGCAGGTAGGCGCCCAAAACCCTGCCCGAGGCGGGGCTTGGGTACTGTGCCGCGTGCATAAAAATATGTAGAAATATGTGTGTGAGTGTGTGTGTAAGTGAGGGTTCGGGCGCCAATTGTGCTGTTCGATATTTTGTTCCGCGTTTGGGTTTATTTCGGTTCGCTCTGATTTGATTTGCCTAACGTAAAAGTTTTGATTGTTTTTCCGCGTTTCAATTTCGCGCACCGTTCCAAATGACAGTCGAACATGCTATGAAATATGAGTTGATTGCCGCCTTTGACACATGCTGAGCACCCTATTGACGGGTTATAAATTAGAACGTAAGCTGCCGTCGAGCGTGACCGAATACGAAGAGGAACAACTAGCTCATTAGACGGCGGCAATTAGTTCTAATTAATGCCCGTTTGAAAAGCATAAAATTTTGTTAAATTTGTGGCCATCGCATCGTTTTCGCCTGCCGCTGGAGCAATGCCTTTTACCTTTTCTTACACGCCAATTAACTCTGAACGCTCATTACAGAGTGGGCGCTGGGCGCTGGGCGTGGCTAGTTGATGTCACTCGTCGGTGCAACGGGGCGTATTAATTAGCCACTCGAAGCCAGTGACAGAACCGAAAACGCCAGGTAGAGTCGAGGCCAAAGCAGCGACAGCTTCAAATGTTTCCATTTTCGAGGCAGTTCAAAAACTGTTCGCCCCTGCCACCGTCCCCGTCCCCGTTCACCTGCTCCTACCTACTCCACTACATCTCACTCACCCACTCCGACATCCTGGCAGAGCATCGTCGTTAGCATTACGTCAACTAATTGGCTTCATTTGGGTTTGCCTAGTGGCTGCTGTGAGTCGCTTTTCCTTTTGTCGCCAGCAACTGCAGGCAATGTGTGTGAGTGTGCGAGCGAGCGAGTGTGTGGGTGTGTGGCTGTGTGGGTGTGTGTGTGCGGCAGGCAATCAGGAATTTCTAATTGGCAATGAAAGGCGCATAATTTATGAATATATCGCACACTTATTTCATGCCACACTTGGCAGCAATTGCCACGCTTCTTGCTCCGCCAGCAATCGCATAAAGCCAACTCAGCTAATTGCATTGCGCCCGATAATGAAGCTTTATTAAGGCCACGTTTTGAGTTCTAGACAACAACAAGAGCTACTGCTGAGCGATCAAATATATGTTTGAAATTAGCTTAAATATGATTTTTTAAAACGAACGCTATTATTTGAGAACTTTTGTTCTAAAATGTGAAAGATAGCTTAGGACTCAAAGCTGAACTGTTTGGGGTTGTTGGATATGATTCTGTTGTGGCCACGATTAAAGTAATAGATAATTGCTAATAGAGTATTCAAAGAAACGAATCGACCTAGACATAGCCAGCAGATTAGTCAAAAGGGATCGCGTCATTAGCAAGTTCAGTTCCATATTAGGCTTAAAACATAACTAGATTAGCCTTAAAGCCTCTTAATCAAAATAAAATTTTTTTTATAAATTTATATATATATATGTAAAGTGAAATTTCATTTTATCAAAAATATCTTTGTTCTAGAATCTCATCAATGCCATCAAACAAGCTTAAGCTGTTTCCAAACTATCATTTTATACACAATTTTACAATAATTTATTTATTTATGTACACAAAAGTTTTCCAGTATTCAACTTAATTAAAGGCAGACAAAGTTTGTATTTAAGAACGTTTTTTCACATCATACAAACTAAAAGCTAAATGAACTCATGTGCAAAATATAATAAATGAATTACTCACTTTTTGCTGTGTACGCATTGCAGGGTATTATAAAAACATAACTCGCTCAGCGGTCACAAATAGAAGAAAAGCGCACAAACGGCGCTTTGCACACACGTTCATCTTTTATTTGGTTTTTTGACGGTTGCCAGGTACGTGAAATGTGAAATGTGAAAAGATAAAAAATAAAAGAAAGTGCAATAAAATAAAAATGCATCAGACCGCAATTCACTTGCAGCAGAGTGCCAAAGTTTCGTCCTTTTTATTGCGCATTTTGGACATGCTGCAAAAAGAGTCCAAAATTGCATTTGACCCAACGCCACGCCCCACTCCAGGCGACTTGTTGTTGTTTTGCATTTGCCTTTTATTTTAATTTCCCACGACGGCACATGGGGCGTATGAGTTATGCATTTCAGCCAGGTTTCAGCTTGCTCTTTCTCGCTCTCTCTCTCTCTTTCTCTCTTCTACTCTTCCCCTCTCTTTATTTTACATTAATGTAAAAATTGTGCACTGATGTAAGTGCGTCTTCCGCACTTCAGTGCGTCCGTCGTCCCGTCTGACAGCCACAAACCAAACAATCAGCCCAAGCGCGCAGCAAACCAAGTCCAAAAATCCTCCTCTCCTACTCTCTTCCTCTCCCTCTCCCTCTCCCTCTGCTTTATACCTGCGCGCATTTTAATAAAAACGAATTAAAATGTACACTAATATGCTTTTATTATTTATGTTTATATTTATTCGTGTGTGTGCATGTTGCAAATAAATTGCACTCGAAAAAGTAAAATGCACACACACACGTACACCCAAGCAGTGTGTGTGTGCATAGCTCATGTATCTTTTAACGAGGGTTGCACATATATAAAAATACAGTTATATATATATAGCGTAGAGTCTGCAATTTATTTATTTTAATAAGTGAAGTTACACTGCGATCGGCTGTTAACGACTGCTGCATGCTCTCTTACTGTAAGATGAGCTTGACAAGAGTCTGCTGCATAATTCCAATTTAATGACTGAAAGTAGAAGCTGTAGATTGGCAATGATTATGTATGAGATGTGAGTAGATGCATTAGAGAAAGTTGATTATCAAGAGCATCACTCAAGCATGAAAATAATAATAATATAAATAAAATGCTGAAACCCTCATGAGATGACAGGCGTAAGAATAAGCCGACTTACTATTTGTACTAATAATCCTAGGAATGCTTAAAACAGTAGTACATCCTGTTGATTCAGTAGATCCAGAAACAATAGATCACTATTCCTATATGAGCTATTTAAGACTAGTATTTTAAGCAATAAAGTGAGTTAAGCTTCTAAAATCTGTGAGGTAGATAAGCAAGGACTTATTAATCTTGCATTGACTATGTCTGTGATATCTGAAAATATCTAGAGATCCACTCTTATGCTTATCCATATAGGAAAATATGCATAACTTTGTTTACATCTGTATAGTTAAATTAAATAATTAAATTAATATACTCCTTTAATTAATATACTCCTTAATAAAAATGTTTTAGTTTTAAATATTTAACTTTTATTTTTTATTTATTTTTATTTTTTCTACAAAATATTTCTAAACAAAATCTATATTTTCTTCCACGAATATATTGCACTGTAAATAGAAAATTTGAAAAGTTTCTTTTAAATTTCCAGCTATGTAAAATAATATTCAAGTAAATTGAGTGAACTCAGTATAATTACAGCCAAGTGTAGCAGTTTCAATGGCTTCATTGAGCGCTCTACTAGAAACTACCTAACGTTAAGTGTATTACATCATTACAAGTTTATTTCGTGTTGAAATTCCTATTTAATTTTATTACTTCTCTGTCAACTTTCTAATTAATGCTGCACAACTGCCATGGCAACCCTCGCTATTTGCCAGAAAATGTGTCACTATGAAAATTGCTGTGTCAGCATTAGTCCACATCCATCCAAAGTCGATTCAGTCCCACACACACACGCCCAGACACATACCAACACACGCACACTCGCTCGTATCTCCTTCAAATTCTCATGCATATTATATAATTTTCCATATGCGGATTAGTCCTAAGCCTCTGAGCCGCCCACAGGGCCAGCAACTTGTCAGTAAACTGCGAATGCAACAACCCCAGCAACAACAGCAACAACAGCAGCAACAACAACAGCAACAACCACAACAACTAGCAACTAGAACAGTTACATAAACCGCTTTCGGTTGGCAACTTGAGTTTGCGGCTGGCAGCGCGACAGCAGCTTATAATTTGTTTGACAAGCATCAAACTCGCTAACCCACCAAAACCACCCAAACCACCAATCCAACCACTCCCACGCTACAGCACTACCCACACACAGTTAGTTATAGCTCACTCTATGATTGCATATGGAGGCCAAAACAAAAATCGGTACACAGCGAGCCACGTCTCCTACGGCTCCTGCGCCCCTTCGTGATGTGCATGGAATCCGATTGTCTCATCTGCATTACCTCAGCGCTCCCCTCTGGGGCTCTGCGAGTAAAATATGAATTGTTAAGCGTATGATTATGTCGTAAGCATTTTTGTCGAATGCTCCCGCCATTAGCGAGCAACTGTGTATACCTATGCAGAGGTATGGGCGTGGCAGAATCTCAAGTTTCAGCTGCATATTGTTCGACTCTTGCGCTGTGAGCGCACAAAGTGCTTTGGCAACTTTTTAGCTCTCAAAAGTAGTGGAAAATATGATAAAGAATTCTTTAAGAATAAATAAAGTTTAAGAATAAGTTAAATTAAATACAATTTATTATTAATAAATTTGAATTTTATTTAAATAAATTTGTTTTTGTAGAAATGTCAACTAAAGCCGAGCTAAAGTTAACGAAATAAGCAGAGCTAGAGAGCTACAGAGCGACTTAAGTAATTTATTATTCCACTTGTAATTCGAATTCATTTCGAATTTCATATATTTATATTTCTCTTGTTTGTGAATTGGTACATACGGCTTCGTAGAAACTGCAATCTGACGGTGCGACATTCATCTGGCTGCTGAGCTCACCTTGCGACTCTTGCCATTTCTGAAAGACTGCGTTGGCCTGCAATGCCGAGCCCATCTCGAAGAGAAGTCTGATGTTGCCATCTGTAATGTACTTGGCCTGCACCACCTCGTTCACCAGGTGGTAAAGCTTTAAGTCTAAAATTAACTTGCGCGCCAGTCGAACCGGATGCACCTTAATGTCAATAATGCCTGCGGATTCATCTTTAGGCAATACCAAAAGCCGGCGACTGAATTTGATGTCATTAAGCGGACTCGACGTGGCTATAGTTGAAGTTAATGGAGTTGTACAACAGCTGAGATGCAGCTTCACTATAAAGAAGTAGCACTTACCACTGACGTTGCACCATGTTTGACTGAACAGAAACAGCGTCAATATTGCTAAGAATTTCATATTTGCACAGAGCGCACTGCCAGCTCAAGTCTCGCAAACAACTGAGCTGCGATCGTACTCAGCACTCGATGAGAGGTTGCTTATCAGTCGCTGATAGCGCGCAGGTCAAAGCACTAATTATGCTCTCTATACACTATGGTGAAATGAAAGAGAGTATATTCATTATTATTATATTATAAAATTGATGAGTCAATATTTACCTACAAGTTCACTCATACACCTTACTTTATCAGTTAATCAACATTTATAATGAAATAAAAAGTTGCTTTCCTTTAAGCTCAGCTTACATGTTGAATAGAGTAATTTGCTGGGCAGCTAGCCCCCTTAGCGACTCGATATTCTACCCTTGCCCACCTCTCTCACAGTGGCGTCAGTCGCGCATCTTGGCTGGCTGTGAGCCAGTTGCTTAATGATGCATATGTGTCGCCACCATTTGTTATGGCCAGTATATCAAAGTGGCGGATGCTGACACATGCCGGCAGTCCGAAACCAATTAGGCACAGTGCCAAAAAATTACGAGTAGAGCTCTCAGAAAGGGGCCATAAAAACGGAAGAATATTATAGGAAGTTCATAAAATGCAAGCAACTACAGTATATCAATATATAGAGTATATAGTAGAGCAATAGGATTAAAGAATCAGACTGGGATTATGACACCCAGTGTGAGCCTCTCTTAAGCTAAGTTTTCGACGGTTCAAGCTACTATTAAGGCTTAAGGTTCAAGTTAGTGCATTTTTGAGTTCATCTTAAGTTCGACTTGAAGCATGAATATAGCCAAAATACTGGCTATGAGAAGTTCTATGCGAATCTTTCCAACTTTCATTCACTTTGACAATAGGAAGTTCTATGTCAATCTTTCTGGTTTTCTATCTGGGCTCATGCCAATTTCTCAAGCACATTTTATTTACAACAACATGGTCAATATAGGCCCTTCATGCTTAGCTTTTTATGTGCTGCTTTTTGGGTCTCTTCCAATCAGCGTTGAGCGTGGCGTAAATGAAAATCAGGAAAACGTGAAATAATTTCAGCACGCGGCGATATCATCAAATTTCATGCACTATCAAAGTCAATTTCCTGTCAGTCGGTGGCCGAGCACAGGGGCAAAGCCTGGCGGGCACCCAACACTGGACGAATCGAGTTTCAGCGTGGCTACAGCCTCCCGCCTCCTGCCTCCTGCCTCCTGCCTCCTGCCTCCTGCCTGGCGGTCACAAAAATAATTTATTCAACTGGAGCCGTGGCGGTCGCTGGTTCGTTCGCTCGATGACTGCCCTGCGGTTCATTGTCAGTTAAGCTTTTTAAAAGAAAACCACTTAGAATGTTGACATTATCCTTCACTTTCTATTTATTTTGTCATTTAATCAACTTCCTGCCAGCCAGCCAGCCTTCCTGACTGTCGTCAGCGTCGTCGTCGTGGCGCACCCTCAGATTTGCATACCAACTGCTCGGGCGCCATATCTTGAGATGGACGCCACACAACTGTTTACAGTTGTCGTTGTTGCTGCTACAGTTGTTGTTGTTGCCGGTCTGCGCCAATCAGTCAAGCTCTCAGCTTCTTCCACCAACGTTTGGCAAATAAAAATTGCTTTTTGCCGCATAACCTGTGGCCGCCTACCCAATAGATAGACTCAATTTGATAGCTGACTGAACGACTTGCCCAGCTTCCACCCTGCTCATTTAGCGTTATTAAAGCAATCCTATGAATATTTTAAAGGCTTTTGTTCGGACATAGTGCACCATAAAAGGTTTAGTGTTTCACTTCAAGCAGCCAAAAAGGAAATGCACAAAAGCTTTTGCCCGACTTCAAGGCAAATATTACGAGTATGTAAATAATGTGGTTTGAGTTGAGTTGAGTTGAGTTGAATGTGAATCCTGCATTCTTGTCGCCGAGTCCCTTCAAACGATGGGCAACTAAATAACTGCCGGGGGGTGGCAGAAAAAGTCTTCTCTTCACCCAGGCTCTGACCACATTATGCGCTGAAAGCATCTCGAACCCTAAGCCGCATTTGGGCAATCAGGCGCGCAATGGCAAGCCCATTCAATGGTCTATTGTTTTTGGCATGAAAATGCTTTTAATTTGCCCACTTTTCATAGAAAAACACAAAAACCTATTTCTGAAAATAAGCAAACAATAAAAAGCGCTAGCAAGAATGGCCATGCATTAGCAGAAAAGCTAATTTGAATAGCCTTTAGAATTAGAATGAGGGCTATATACGCTTTTAAGCGTATGAGGGAAGGCGAATAGATATGTTAAGTTCGATATATATCGAAATTTAGTCTTATTACTTAATATCAATGTTAGCTTATATCTATATTCTATATAAATATATATATTCTAATCAATTCTCTGAACAATTCGTATCTGATCTATAAATATCGAATGCATATTGTATACGAAAACCTTAATAATATCAAAATAGCAAATGTAGAGGGTATCTAACAGTCGAAAACTTTCGACCAACACACAAATTTGTATTCCTTTTGTTTATTACAAGTATTTTTGCAGTCGATTTTAATGAAAGCGCGCGAAATAAGTCGACTTGAAAGCACTTATAGTATTTCCGAGAAAGATACAAAAACTAGAGCTATCGCAGAAGTGTTGAATGGAGGGGGCTGTGGGGCGTTGCAGGGCGATTGGGGCAAAATATGATGGCCAACTTTTTTGTTGACTTGTTGTTTTTTGTACTTAAAGTTGGCTCCCTGTTGCTTGTTGTGTCTATTGCCACTGCTGCCACTGCCGCTCTTGGCTTAATGCTGAAATAATTACGCGCCAAAGTTGATTTTCAGCGTACTCGAGATTGTTGCCAGACCCGCGCTGCCAACCATCCACAAAACAAACTCTGCGCTGAAGTACGTGACGCACCAATAAGCCGAGAGTCCGCAGCAACTATGCTGTACATGTTTGTGTGGTGGCTGCTTTTGAATTGATTAAACACGAAAAAAAGAGATCAGCAAAAGTTGGTGCCAGCAAAGCGAAGCGTTGCATGCTCCAAGCTGAAAGCTACACTCATCTATGAAGGGCTCCTATGTTCGTTAGTCTGCAGCCTTTTATTACGGAACTTTTTTATATTAGAATGCGAAAATATTACATTTTTCACAAGAGTGCTACAAATGAATAAAGTTGGCTGCATGAGCATTGCACGGCTCTCACTCCCATAGGGTAGACGACTTTGAATGGCTATGCTAGCTTATGTAAGGCACTCTAAAATACCTTAACGAATCAATGATAGCAGATTGTAACAATCTGTGATTGGTTCAATGTTATTCTTTCAACTTAACGAAGAACTAAGCCCAACGAAACTTGACGCTACTCTCAGCTTAGCTTCACGACTATAACAACTCTTCGGTAGATCTGCTACTTAACGATACAACAGCTGATCCCTGATTGGCTCGCTCCCAACTCCTACTCTAATACTCAACGAGAAACCTTGATTTCGCTCTCACTCTGTTCGCTAAAAATGCAGCCCTTCTCTTTCATGCACATAAAAGCGTATTTGTTTTACACCCTGGGTCAGTTAATTAGATGCCTATTGATATAGTTTGAATAGCAGCTAATGTCGAGCAAGTTTCGGTCGCCTATTTTGACCACAATACAAACTGTGCTCGCATTTATTAATTAAAATGCCACAAAAACACAAAAAGGCAAACAACGCACACATGCAGCGCACAGCAAGGCACAATGTGGCACTCATTACGGCACGGCAAGTGCTCATCAAAACCGAACCAACATTCAATTGAATAACACCGAATGTTTGTTAGTTTAATTATGTGCATAGCTCATACCAGGCGCCGCCTTCGTTCACCTGCTGTGGTTATTTACATTTGCAATATTTTGCTGAATTGTCGTAATATTTAAAATAAAAAGAAAGCAAAGGCTAATTATGCAAGCCGAATAGTAAATACTCTTGTGGACACACAGATACATGGATATAGATACAGATATTGCTGTCATATATAAGCTTTATTTGCAACTGTTTTGTCCTAGAGCTATTTATAGTATAGAACGCTTATCTTATATAGATGGGCATAGATATGTATGTGGTCAAACAAAAATATATATATATATATATATATATATATATATATATATATATTGTTAAAGCTGTTAACTGTTAAAGCCTGTATCTTCATAAGATTAGAGTAAGCATATCCATCTCGCCTAGTTACCAGTTGCAAACATCATCTTCTTCTATGCCTGACAGACTCCACATTATAAGAGTATTGAAAAGCAAATAATCAACGTAAACAACTTTGTTGTCAATTGGCATCAATTTTTGTTCAATTTGGCATTTGATTTTTAATTATAATGCGACAGGCCATCTGACCAGACCTCTATCTGTATCACATCTATCTGAAATATTTCATTTGTAATTGCCATTGAAGCATTTTGATTGCAATTTGCAATATTTTGAGGTCAACTTGCACATAGATCAACCTCAAACTCTGAAATTAATGTTGCGGTTAAAAATTCGAAAATCATATTTCATAATGAAAACGATTGTGGCTAGCAAAATATTTAATATTGAGAAATTGTTATTGCTATTTGATAAGTATGTTAAATTGTTAAGCTTTTCAATTGAAATGTGTTAAGCTAAATGTTGATGATTACTGCGAGATCTTATCATAAAATTAAACAGAAATTAATACAAATTACAAATACAAAATAAAATTAATTAGAAATAATTACAAATTTAACTTTTTTTCAAAAATTTTTCGTTTGCTTAACGGAAATTTGTTGTTGTTAAATATCTCTTTCTTACATATATGAGAAATATACTTACCATCAATAAAAGTGACTAACTAGGAGGTTCCCTACTCCTTTCTACTCTACTCTTCTAAGACAATCCAATCACAGAAATCTCCACTGTAAATTGAAAATCTCTTATACATTATTAACATTACTATTATTATTATTATTATTAATATTATTATGATTATTTTTATTTTTATTATTATTATTATTATTTTTTTATTATTATTATTATTATTATTATTAACATAATATTTAAAGATATAATAGCAATAATAAT